CTGGGTCGTGGCCCGGCTTACCGGGTTTCCCCGACTTGCCCGACGCTGGCTCCGGCTCTGGCTCCGGAGGGAACACGGCGCGGGAGAAGTCTCGCAGCAGCGCGCGGCTCTGCTCGCGCTCCCACAGCTCGCCCACCAGCAGCACCTGCCCGCGGCCGCCCGCAGCCTCTACCAGCGCCTGGAAAGGCAGCTCGGCCGGGCTCGCCGGGTGCTGGGTCAGCGGCTCCAGCTCGCTCTCCATGCTGGCCTCCGCGTCCTGCGCGGGGCCCGGAGCTCCGCAGCCTCCTCTACAGACACGCCCCCGAGGGCCGTGCCTCCCCGACCCCCTGGCTCACTGGTTGCGTCCTGCGCTCTCTTGTCCCAGTGCGCTGAATCATTCATTCATTCATTCATTCGTTTATTCAGACATCCAGTACACACTTCCTGAGCACTCAGTAGGTGCGGGCTCTTGGGGGACTGAGGGTGAGTGTACGTTACCCACTCAAAGTAAGATGGTTTTGAACCCCAGAGCAGATTTATTTATTTTTCAAAAGACTTATTTATTTATTTGATGTTATGTGCATGAGTGTTTTGCTTGTGTGTATGAACACTGGCACCAGCAGAGTTGTGAATATGTTCTGGGAATTCAACCCAGTCGCCCCCCCCCCGCCCGCCCCAAAATATATCTCACCATCTTAGCCTAGAATCTGGAGATCCTTTAGTCTCAATTTGGAATTATAAGCCTGTGCCACCGTTCCTAGCTTCTGGAGCTAATGTTTAATATAGAGGAGTCCTACAGGGTTTGAGGGTAGGGGCTACTTTCCCAATGGTGTAGGCTTTGGAACCGAGATGGAGCAGAAGAGTGAGTGAGGGAAGCGAAGCAGGGTGTCCTAGTTTTTGTTGCTGTTGCTGTGATAAAAATACCCTTACCACAAACAACTTAGGGAAGGAAAGAAAGGGCTTATTTTAGTTCACGGTTCCTGGTCGCAGCCGGTCACTGCAGGGAAGTGACAGAGGCAGGAGCTCCAGACAGCAGCTGGCCACCATCACACCCACAGTCAAGAGTGGAGAGCAATAGACTCTCCGTTTGTACAATCACAGCAAGGAATAGTGTCACCCACCTTCAGGCTGGGTCTTCCCGCATCAATTAAGTCAACCGAGATGATCCCGGCCACCCCCAGACTTGCTCACAGGCCAACCTGACCTTGACAGTTCTGCACTGACACTGGCTTCCTAGGTGATTCTAAATCGTGTTGGCAGTTAGAATTAACCATCACCTAGGGCACACCTCCTCGACTGTACTCTCCTTTGCAACCACCGACACCTCCTTCAAATGGATCAAGGTCACTATTTCCACAAATACTTGTTGACTTCTGGGTACTGCCTGCTGTAGTGTGGGGCTGTTGTTCCCTATGGACCAGAATACAAGGCAGTGGTTCTCAACCCCTGGGGGTGGAACAACCCTTTCACAGGGGTCGCCTAAGTCCATCGGAAACCACAGATATTTACATCATGATTCATAACAGCAGCAACATTAAAGTAACGAAGTAACAATGAAAATAATTTTATAGTTGGGGGGTCACCACAACATGAGGAACTGTATTAAAGGGTCGCAGTATTAGAAAGACTGAGAACCATTGATTTAGAGTTAGATGTGGGATGCTGGCATGCTCTGGTGTTGGGGTGTGTATGTGTAGGTGTGCATGTATGTGTGCATGTATGTGTGTACTTATCTCTGTGTGTCTGTCTGTCTGAAAATCAGGTAAGAAGCAGGAACATATTTTCTATGATTTTCATGGACCAGAACAGCTTTGTCCAAAGGAATGCCCTGTGAAATGTTTTTCCAGCCCTGTGCAAATGCAGTCACCCCAGGCACACGTGGTTATTATGTACACAGGAGAGGAGCCGGTGCAAATGACTTTTACATGCTATTTAATGTCAATTTAAATTCAAAAGGCCTCCGTGGCTTGTATCTAGCCTCTCTGTTTCCCCTTCCTTTCACTACATAGTAATTGCCCCAAAGGCTGTTGGTGTCAAGACATTTTAATGCCCATATATTTTTAATTCACCATACAACCCCAATCCTCTCTTTAAAATACCTTGCTCCCTACCCTTTATAACTATGTTCCAACATCACAGAGGGGTTTTCGTATCCATAAAATGAATCTTTCATGGGTACCTACTGTATGCATAGAGCAGTCTAAGGTGCCCAAGGTGCAGCCCTTCCTTCCCTAAGACTCTAGAGTTGTTTTAGCCAGTATTTGGAGGAAGGCGACACATTTCTTCTCCTCCTTGCCTCCTTTTTGGTTTTTCGAGACAGGGTTTCTCTGTGGCTTTGGAGCCTGTCCTGGAACTAGCTCTTGTAGACCAGGCTGACCTCAAACTCATAGAGATCCACCTGCCTTTGCCTCCCAAGTGCTGGTATTAAAGGCGTGCGCCACCACTGCCAGGCAAGACAGGGTTGCCTTGTGTAGTCTTGGCTGTCCTGTAACTCTCTTTGTAGACCAGGGTGACCTCGAACTCAGAGATCTACCAGCCTCTGCTTCTCATGCTGGGATCAAAGGTGTGCACCACCAGCACCCACCTAAGGCAACATATTTTTTTTTATCTGGTTCTAATTAATGGGACTCTTGCCTTTGCAGAATGACTATTGAATTCCCCTGGAAGGGTGCTGTGATATTCAAAGCAGAAATTGGAACCTGGGTGGGAAAGCCCCCTGTTTAGAGATGGATGCAAGGTGGAGTTCCTTCACCAGGTCATTGCTGACCTGGTGACCTCTTCTCCTGTATAGACTGGGTACCCCTAGTTTCCACTGTACCTGGTGCTGGGGAGCAGCTGGGAATGGACAAGCTCATCTCCACAGTGATGGCAACAAGTGAGGGCCGGGGAACAGAGCCAATAAACAAGTAAACACAGCAGACAACTTTAGATGGTGTTCTGTGTTGTGGGAAAAAATGTATTACTGACGAGATGACTGTGTCTCTGATCCATTCTGAGTGCACAACACTGACCATGCCCCAGGAGCAAGGTGTAAGTGGATAAGGACAATGACCAGTTAATGTAGAAACAATAGAAATCCCACAAGCCCTCCATCCAGGGCAGTAAAAGGGGTTAGGTTAAATGAACGTCACACTTGCCCACCCCACCCCAATCTTTTCTCTACCTCTAATGTGATACCTGGAGGCAGAACAAAGCTGTGCCATCCAGGAAAGGGATTAGAAACACACAACGATGACACCTTATGCCCCCTCCTTCCCCTGCATGGACTGTAGAACCCAGCTAATGTGGAGAGCAGTGGTCAGAGAGCGTGAACTTCTCTAGATAGAGGAAGGTGGCACATGGGTGTGACCAGGACCACATCATAGTGCAGCACCAACTGAGCCTCCACTCCTTGAGCTCCCAGAAGTGATACAAGAAGTTGTGGGCTTTTGTCTCCTTTAGGTGCACCTGCTGCTAACCTAGGCAGCTGACATCCAGGGAAACAGAACTCACTGGAAACAAGAATTATCTCTCTAGAAAGTCTGAAACTGAGTAGACTTACAGGGCATAGAAACTAGGTTTCACCTCAGTATTACCACCCCACTGTAACAGTGTCATGCACACAGTGAGAGTATGCTCTTAGCTGGGCAGTGGTGGCCCACGCCTTTAAACCCAGCACTTGGGAGGCAGAGGCAGGCAGATGTCTGTGAGTTTGAGGCCTACAGCGCTAGTTCCAGGACAGGCTTTGGAGCCTATTTTCTAAACAAACTTTGTCTCAAAAAACCAGAAAAAAGAGAAAGAAAATATGCTTTTTGTCTTATAAATATTTGGAGGTTGTCTTAGCTAGGGTTTCTGCTGCTGTGAAGAGACACCAGGATGACCACGGTATCTCTCATAAAGGAAAACGTTCAGTTGGGACTTGCTTGCAGTTTAGAGGTTCAGTCCATTATCATCACGTTGGGACACGGCGACATGCAGGCAGATATGGCACTAGTGCAGGGGCTGCACGTTCATACACCTTAACTTGCAAACAACAGGAAGTGGTCTGAGACATTGGATGTGGCTTGAGCATATATGAGACTTCAAAGCCCACCTCCACAGTGACACACTTCCTCCAACAAGCCCACACCTACTCCAACAACAAGGCCACACCTCCTAGCAGTGCCACTCCCTTTGGGGGCCATTTTTCTCAAATCACAATAGATGTATACAGGAAGTGGCTAACAGAGAAGAGCTCTTTACTAGGTCTTTGGGCACTCAGTTTTTAGAACAGTGATTATTCTCTTATCATACTACCAGAATGGCAGCCAAAGTTCCAGTCATCCGCGTCTCTCTCTGAAGAGCTTGATGACAGCTCTGGAAAAAAACAGAAATCAAACACTCCATTAAGAGACTAGGGGTTGGAGGTGTGTCTCAGTGGTAGCGTACTGGCATGTACAAAGCTCTAAGGGCCAGGAAGACAGCACGTCTGAGGGGCTTGGACAGCAGCATGTCTGATGGTTAATCTTCATTGTCTTCTTGACTGGATTTCAAGTCATTTGGAGACACACTCTGGGTGTGCCTGCGAAGGTGTGTCCAGAGTGATTTAAGTGAGTAAAGGCCTATCCTGTATGGGGGTTGAAACCCCACACACACCACACACATATATCACACACACATCATCACACATACATATCACACGCATGCACGCACGCACGCACGCACGCACGCACGCACGCACGCACAGCTCCCAGATGGAATTAAAAGGGAAAAGGATAAAGGGAGTGGAGCCCCCGTAATCATTTCTTTGCTTGCTCCCTGGAAGCAATGTGACCACATGCCTCGGGCTCCTGCTACGACACCAGAACGGCTCTTGCTGCTATGTCTTTCTGGGTGTGAGGGACTACACCCCCAAACTGCGATCCAAAGCAAATCTTCTCTCACTAAGTTGCTTTAGTCAGGTAGTTAATCACGGCAGCTAGAAAAACGATGGCTGTGGAAACTTGTACTAGAAAGGGCTGTTTCTGTGATCCACCTGACCATGTGGTTTGTAGATCTTTGGGATTCATTTTTGGAAGGGATGTGGACGAGTTTGGTGCTGTGTGCTAGAGAAACCCTACATGCTCTGAGCAGAGTTTAGTGGCCCATTCTGGTGTGTGAGCAGAGAGCAGAGCTCTTTGAGGGTAGACAGTAAAGACTGCATTTAGAAGGTCCCAGAGGGAAACAGGAACTCTGTCACCCGTCAGATTAGGGGCTGTCCATGTGCTATTCTGTGAAAGGACATGCCCACATTCTGCCCATGCTCTGAGAACTTGTGTGTGGCTGAATTAAAGGGGAATGAACTTATCTGTTAGACAGAGGCTATTTTAACACAAATAGCACTCAGTGCCGTAGCTACTGATCACTGTTCTCATCCAGGTTTACAGTGAGAAAGAGCAGCAAGTGGGGCTGTTGGAGCCCAGATGACGTCATCAAGAACCCCACATTTGGGACATAGAGTTGGAGAACCTGGTGTTTTCCCTACTGGGTTTCCCTTAAGCTTT